GAAAAAATGAGAAAAGAGAAAAAATGAAATAAGTAAAATTAATAATAAGAATAGACAATAGTATAATAGAATCAAAGGGGAAGAGAGAAATTAGAGATATGCAAGAAAAAAAGAATTAAAAAAAGGAAAAAACAAAAATAAAAAGTCTACTTACAAACTAAAAAAACAAAACCACACATATTCACACACTGCTATGATGTTGAATCTGGTCCCTTGGTGTGTCTGTCCTGGTCCCTGTTGTATAGGTCGTTGTCTCTTTCTAGACATGGGCAACCTGATTGAGGTCTGAAGTTTGAAGTCCCTAGTAGTTCAGTGGGCAGTTCTTGTAGTGTCAGTCTTTTTGGTGAAGTATTCCTTTTGTTCTTAGATTTTATTTCTGAGATCACTGAATTAGTTTTCTAAGTGTTCTTATCCTTGAGTTTTTTTTTAGAACTGCAATCTTAAATTCTCTATTATTTAAATCACTGTGTTTTGTGTCTTAAGTTTATTTTCTGGAAAATTTTTAAAGTTTTCTTTCTGACCTTCCTTGTTACCTTGGTTGTTCATTGTACTTGATGGATTATTTCTCTACCTGTGAATTTGTGGGAATGAAAACTTTTTAAAAATGTATTTGACATTTCAGTGTTCTTTTTTCTTTTATTTTACAGTAGGTGGTGCTAAAGCATAAGTTTTTATTTTCTCTTAACTGCTGGGGCTTCTAGGATTTTTGTGCAGCAGTATTATATTGTGGAATATAATATGTGGAATATTCCTAGTATTTCCTGAGGAGGTGGGTACCCTTGCCCAACCCGAGTCTTGGGGCACCACTCCCATGGTTTCAGAGTGGTGGGCTGTAGATCTTCTGAATTTCTCAGGGCTGCATTCAGGTAGCCAGAAGCTGCCAGTCAAGCTGTTCTGAGTGGATTCAGCCTCTACCTAGTTGTGTAGAGATGAATGGAAGAGGGTTTGGTGGGGTAGTGGTTTCATTAGTCCAAAGTTCTGCTCTTCCTTGTGTATTTAGCTTCAGTGAGTATAGTTGACTTATGCCAGAAGCTTTTTCAGTCCTTGAAAGATTTTCCAAATGAGGATTTTCTGCCTGTCAGGCCATAGGTGTGGGCAGGATCCCACATATGAGAAATCCTTTGGTGCTGGCTGGCTGTGGAGTTCTTTGACTTTTTGCACAGTTTCTCTGCCCCTGACTCGTGGCCCAGCCTTAATATCTATCACCCACTGAGGCCCCATTGCTGTGTCTGCCCTTCCTTTTTGTCCAGTGGTGATTGCACTTCACCCCTTCAACTGTTAAGAAACCTCCACAACTAGTGCCCAGAACTTTCATCTCTGTCTTGTCCCCTTCCTCTTCTGTCTCTATTGTTAACTGAGATACACACTCTTTTAGATGTCTCAATGCACAATGTGTTTCTGTGTTACCAGAGAATGAATCTTTTGTTGAATTATAGTTGTGCAACTTGTAATTTTAAGGGTAGAGACCTGAAGGTCATGTATTGACTGCCATGCTGCTAACCAAAACTTTATTTTTCTCATAGCTATTGCAGAGCATGGCCATACCCTCTCAAAATAATAATGTCTTATTCAATTTTTAGTCCTATAATATCTTATACTTGGTCAATACTTAATCTGTATAAACTACAGGCCCTGTGCATGAAATTCATACATGGGTAGGGTTCCTATGCCTAGGCAATAATCAGGGCTAATCGGAGCCGTCCAGCTGCTGTCTAGGGCCTTCCTTCTGGCTGCCATCTGGGGCCTTCCTTTGTTCTGCGCTGCCCCCTGTTAGTCAGAGTAAGTCATAGTGAGCAATTGAACTTCTGGTCTCCTGGTCAAACTCCTGAGGGACTACTTTTTATATTAGCCTTTTATATCTATAACTAGGAGCCCAGCACACGATTCGAAATTGCTCAGTGCTGCCCACCCACCTGCAACCCTGCCTTGACACCTGAACCTGTCCACGCAGAGCTCCAGTGCACCTGGCCCAGTCCCCAAACCCTCTGGCCTTCTCTGGCCACTTCAGGCGCTAACCTCAGTCCCTTGAGTGGCCTCGGGCTGATTTTGCTTGCTGCACTGTGCTCCTTCCCCTGGCAGGTGGGCTGCAGGTCACTCAGAGTAAGAGTGGTGGGTGGCAAAGGACTGGTGAGGGGGGTGCTATAGGCTCTTACCCCTGCCCTCGCTGAATGGAATGGTCCCAACTCCTCCGGGCGCCTCCCTGCTTCCACCCTGACTCTAGAGCAATGCCCCAGCTAATATGCTAATGACCTGGTCATTACCCATTACAGCATATTGATCATTAGTATATTAGGTCTTTGTTAGTATAGATAATAAAAGCATAATATGCTAATTATACTGGACAACCTTCCAGACAAAGCCAGGTCTCTGATGCCTGCTGGCAGCTAGAGGGAAGCCTAGGTCATGGGTGCCAGAGGGAAGCTGGTGCCAGCAGCCAGGGGAAGGAAGGCCTACTCTTACATCAGTTTCATGCCTCAGGCCTCTAGTACTAGTATTAATATATAGACAAAAGCCTAAGCTACTGCTCAGCCTGTACTATGACACACAGACTACCAGCAGATAGACGCATAATGCAGGAGCTGCCCCCCGGTGGTCAGTGCGCTCCCACAGCAGGAGCTCTGCTTTGCAGGTCATCGGGCACCAGACCCCAGGTTCATGGCTGGTGAGCACCACTGCCTTGCTCTCCTGCTGACACTCCTCCTGCAGGCCCCTCTCCCATCCGGAACAGGATTGAGACTGACTGAGCACGAGCCAGTGGCCCTCTCTTGGTCACAGGCATGCCAGTATCACCCTAGTATGGGCATGCAGAAACCATAGTGGAGCCTCAGCGATCCTACAGAGCAATGAAGTTGGCAGGCACAGCAGGGCTGGGATGAGCAAGAGTGGTGCTGTACCTGGCCTGACTCGGGCTCCTCCCTGGCTGCCTGCCGCCTCATGCACTACTACATTCCTCAAGGGATGTAGGACTGCTGGTTTTGGCAGATCCCTACAGGCCTGGCTGAGGGACCCCCAACAGTGCACAAATTCGTATTCATATTTGTATGCTTTAGGAATATCAGAGGTGCAAGTAAATTAAACTCAGGCTGTACTTTTGGTATAGAGTTGTATCTAATAAAAAAGTAATATGCAAATTGACCATCACACCAACACACAAGGTGGCTGTCCCCACGTGGTCAATGATCTACAAGATGGTCGCCACAAGATGGCCTGCAGGGGAGGGCACTTGTGGGTGATCAGGCCAGCAGGGGAAGGCAGTTAGGGGTGACGAGGCCAGAAAAGCAGGGAAGTTGGGGGTGATCAGGTCGGCAGGGGAGGGCATTTGGGGGGGACTAGGCCTGCAGAGGAGGATAGTTTTGGGGGGGCAGGCCTGCAAGGGAGGGCAGTTGGGAGCAACCAGTCCAGCAGGGGAGGGCAGTTAGGTTGATCAGGCATGCAGGGGAGGGCAGTTGAGGATGACCAGGCCTGCACAGGAGGACATTTAGGGATGACCAGGCAGGCAGTTGAAGAGTAGTTATGGGTGACTGGGTCAACAGGGGAGGGCAGTTGGGGGAAATTGGGCCAGTAGGAGAGCATTTAAGCATTGATCAGGCTGGCAGGGGAGTGGTTAGGGGTGATCAGGCTGGCAAGCAGAAGTGGTTAGGGCCAATCAGGCAGGCAGACAGGTGAGTGGTTGGGAGCCAGCAGTCCTGGATTGTGAGAGGGATGTCAAATCCCACCGGGATTGAGCCTAAACTGGCAGTTGGACATCCCTCATGGGGTCCCAGATTGGAGAGGGTGCAGTCTGGGCTGAGGGACACCCCTCTCCCGCCCCCATGCACAAATTTTGTGTACCAGCCCTCTAGTAGTAAATAATTTTGTAAATTGTTTTTTGTTTTGTATCTTAGGGTATAGAGTTTTTCTGCAGCAATATCTTCCTTAAATTCCTAGATACTTTTTATAAATAGAAATTTAAGAAATTTAAGGGAGTTGAAAATGGAATTTATATATGTACATGTATACAAATGTATGTACATGTATAATATCACAGTTTTTATTTGCTCATTTTTCTATTACATCTTTAAAAATAGAACTGTGAAGTTAAATGAGGAACTTCAAACATTTTGACAGAATCCAGCATGATTTTATGTGATGTTTATACAGCAAAGAAAAACATATTGAGAGTACTAATTTTATTCAGATTTCTCTCCTGTCAGAGCCTACCATAGCATAGGCTCAATAAAGGCTTATCTAACTGAACTTCGAAGAATTTGGACTTGAGCATAACCTCTCACAGAGTCTCCTATTGGATTTTGGAAGAAATGTGGGTGCTGATAAATTAGTTGATCACAAAGGGTCCATACATCTAGAAGTTGGCTGGAGTCAAATATCATTCATTAATGAAGCCTTCCCAGCTCCTAGCCCTTCCTCTCTACTCACTGGTACTTTGCCCATTTTCTCTTATAGCCCAGGTCCTGAAGTGGTAAACTGGTAAGTTATATGCCAACATAAATGACAACCCAAATTAGGATATAATGCTATTTTCAGAGGTCATATTTTTTCACAAGTACTGCCCAGTCATTGTTTATGAATCTGAGTCAGTTCCATTACACAAGCTATGCATTCCTTGGAAGGTGTTTTGAGTGGTTTATTTATATAAGGAATTGTTGTATATATTGTAGAATTTACCAAATTGTACTTTTTTTTTGTAAAATACATTAATTTTAGCAGAACTTTTTATCAGAGGCTTAATTTGTCTTCTCTATTGACTAATGTACAATAAAACCATTTGCTAAGAGGTATTTTTTTGTCATTTAAAAATAGGTTTCAGTGTTTTATTTTATTTAATGGACTTTAGTGTTTTTAATTAAATAACCAGACATTAAAAAAAATTTAGAGCCTCTTTGTCCTCAATTCTCTTAAAAATTACCTTACATCCTTAAAAACTACAGCAGTTTCCAAAACTTAGGAAGTACCTGGAGGTGTCTATATTTTACTAAGGATGTACTCCTCTTTTTTGCTAGGTATTTTGGACCAGTCTGCTGTGTGGGTTGATGAAATGAATTATTATGATATGCGTACTGACAGGAATAAAGGAATTCCTCCCTTGTCCTTGCGTCCTGCTAATCCACTTGGCATTGAGATTGAAAAGTGAGTACACCTTTTCCTTCAGTTTTTTTTTTCTTCCCCCCCAGTTGGTAAGCAGTTTTATTATATATACTTAGTCAAACTCTTGAAACATAAGGTTATTTCTGAAGCCTGGTCAACTTTGCTGCCAATTAATGTTCCCATTATTTAAAACCTTTGGCCCAGACAAGTTCTTTCTTTAGTTTTTTTGAATTTACATTTTGTGAAGAAGAAAAGTATATTTTAATCACTAACATTTTTAATCACTAATACTTTAAGAAATTGAAGTATAGTTGACATACAGTATTATATTAGTTTTAGGTGTACAACATAGTGATTTGATATCTATATATACTTACGAAGTGATTGCAATGACAAGTCTAGTAACCTTCTGTCACCATGCAATGTTGTTACAATGTTCTCTGTATTCCCTATGCTGTACATTACCTCCTATTATTTATTTATTTTATAAGTGGAACTTTGTATCTTTTAATCACTTCACGTTTTCTGCCCATGCCCCCACTCTTCTTCCTCCTGGCAACCATCAGTTTGTTCTCTGTATCAATGTGTCCATTTCTGTTTTGTTTATTTTGCTTTTAGATTCCACACATAGGTGAAATCATGTTATTTGTCTTTCTCTGGCTTTTTCACTTAGCATAGTACCTTCTAGGTACCACTTGTTACAAGTGGCAAGACTCATTCATTTTTATGGCTGAGTAATATTCCATTTTTTTTAATCTGATAATATGTTTATTGATTCTAGAGAGAGAGAGAGAGATCAAGTGGGGGAGAGAAAGAGAAAGGAAGAGAGAAACATTGATGTGAGGGAGAAACATTGATTGGTTGCCTCTTGTATGCACCCAAACTACAACCTTTTTGGTGCATGGGATGACACTCCAACCAGCTGAGCCATGCAACCAGAGCTACTTATTATACTGATTGTCACAAATATATGTGTTCTTTGCATGGCTTAAAGTGTAATGGAGACAAACTATTTCAACTGAAAAATAAGGTAAAATCAGGTTTGTATTAAATAAAGCATTTAGTAGTTTTTCTCTCTTAATTGACTAATATGCCTAATATGAGGATATGTATAAATAATGTTTTTAGAGATAGTACATATTTGGGAGTGAGAGCATAAAAATGGAGCTTTTCCTCTGTTTGTGTATGATTTCCAACTTGTTTTGTAAAACTGTTATCTGGGATGGCTATCTATAATAGAATAGTCAATTGATGTACCACTATTACCTATTTTATTTCCACACTAGGGTCCCAGTGCATGCAATTTTGTACACTGGTGGGGGGCATCCCGCAGCCTGACCTGCGCCCCCTCACAGTCTGAGACCACTTGGGGGATGTCTGACTGTCGGCTGAGGCTCTCTTGCAGTTCAGGACCCTTTGCTCATTACCATCTGCTTGCAATGAGAAGTCAGGCTCATGGCTAGTAAACACAGCGATGGTGGTGGGAGCTTTTCCCACCTCTCAGGCAGCGCTAAGGAGCAGCATGTCCGGCTGCTGACTGAGCAGTACTCCCCCTGTAGGAGCGCACTGACCACCAGGGGGAAGCTTCTGCGACGAGTCTCTGCCCCCTGGTGGTCAGTGTGCATCATAGCAACCGGTTGTTCCTCTGTTTGGTGGATTTGCATTTTAGGATTTTATTATATAGGATGGGCTTTATGGGCAAAACAAATCTGATTTTCTTCTCTTCAATTTGGCTTTCCAATAAAAAGAAAAAGTGACCACTTTTCTTGCTACATTTAGAAAACAAAGAAAGGTGGCAAAATAAGTCTTTGCAAGAGAGGAGCCTTAAATCAATTTACCTTTTAGAAATTTTACCAAAACAAATTTGTGGAGTATGATAAAGTGTTTAAGTGCAGAAACTATATCAGACTGAAAAAACAACAAGAAAACAACAGTACACAAACAACCGAAAACAAGTTCATAGTATTTAACATACCAAAAATGTGCTAACATTTTAATAAAATAATTGTGTATAATATACACATTCTCAAAAGAACTATATAAACCCTTTTTACTGGGGGTAGCCTTCTCCGCCTTTCTTCTTTCCACTAGTCAAATCATGAAAACATATTCTGTTCATGAAAACACAAAGTAATAAAACTACAATCAGGTCTCATTCCATGTGGGGTGGTGAGAGTTTTTTCTCAAAATTTTGTTTTTCTTGCTCATGGGTCATTACTGCAAATTCTTCTCATACTTGAAAGTGAAGCTGATCTGTTAAGAATATTCTTGTTAGTTTTATCTGACCATTTATTATATCTGGATCTTTCCATGACATAGTCTTAAAACTTTATAGGTTTAGATTTAAGTCTATACTTAATACTACTATGTAATAGAAAGCTGAAATTTTTGTGATTCTTTAGTGAAAAGATTTCATGAATTTATAATAGAATATATGTTACTTTCATTCTCCAATTCCATGTTATTACATTTAACATGTTAAGTGCCAAGCCTGTTTTGTCTTTTATTTCACCAATATATTGGCAGCACCAGTGACTGATTGGTCCAGATGGAAAGTATAGTGTTAATCACTGGTGACTGACATGGCACTTGCTTAACGTGTTAAAATGTAGATTTAGTTTTAATTACTCAGAATTCACCTATTGACTTGATAAGCCATCACTTCACTTGGTGAGTTAGACCCTAAAGTCCTATTATTGTGAGTTAACTTTTACTGTCTAACTCTCCATTGACATAGTGCTTTTTCTTACCTAGCATTGTTTTTAAGACCATTAGCAATTTTCCACAGTCTAAAACAATTTTCCTCCTAAATTTCTAACTTTCTAGATTTGTAGTTGTGGTTTCATTTTATACCTAAGATTCTCTGGTTCTTTATTTGAAAACTAGAGGTCTGATACACATAGTTATGCAGAGTAAGCCTTCCTTCCCCGGACTGCCAGCACTTGCCTCTCTCTGGAACCCAGGACCTGGACTTCCCTCTGGCCACAGGCAGGCACCCAGGACCCAGGGTTTCCTTGCAGCCCCAGATTCATCCAGAAAGACGTCCAGTCTAATTAACATATTACACTTTAATTATTATAGATAAGAGTACCAGGTTCAAATCTTGACAATTTACAAAGAACCTCTCTGAGGCTATTTCTTCACTTTAATATGGAAATATATGATATAAAACACTATGTTTTTATGAGGATCAAATATAATACTTAAGAAAATAGTTTATAAAATATAAAAAAACTAAGTATAAATAATAAAATTAACAAATAACTTTTATGAGCATTTGTTCTGCATCAGAAATTGCTAAGCCTTCCACATGCATTATCTACTATCATCCTTAAACATTCCTAAGAGGAAGATGTTATGATCCCATTAGAGGCCTGGTGCATGAAATTCGTGCACGAGGTGGGGGTTTTCCCTTAGCCCAGCTTGCACTCTCTCCAATCTGGGACCCCTCGAGGAATTTTCAACTGCCCGTTTAGATGGGATCGGGTCTAAACGGGCAGTCAGACATTCCTCTGACAATCCAGGACTGCTGGCTCCCAACTGCTCACCTGCCTACCTTCCTGATGGCCCCTAACTGCTTCTACCTGCCAGCCTGATCACCCTCTAATCACTCCCATGCCAGCCTGATTGATGTCTAACAGTTCCCCTGCCAGCCTTTTTGCCCCCAAATTCCCTCCTCTGCCAGCCTGGTCACCCCTAACTTCCCTTTCTTGCAGGCCTGGTCTCTCTCAACTGCTTTCCCTTGCAGGCCTGGTCCCTCCCAACTGTCCTCTCCTGCTGACCATCTTGTGGTGGCTATCTTGTGTTCACATGGGGGCAGGATCTTTGACCATTTGGGAGCAGCCATCTTGTATGTTGGAGTGATGGTCAATCTGCATATTACTCTTTTATTAGATAAGATAGAGGCTTGGTGCACGGTTGGGTTGGGGGCCAGCTGGTTTGCCTTGAAGGGTGTCCTGGTTCAGGGTAGGGGTTCCCTTGGGGTATGGGGTGACCTGGGTAAAGACCCTATGGTGGTTGCAGACCAGCCACGCCCCCAGTGACCCAAGCAGAGGCCCTGGTATCTAGAATTTATTTTATTTTATTTTTTAATTGATTTTTTTACAGAGAGGAAGAGAGAGGGATATAGAGTTAGAAATATTGATGACTGAGAATCATCGATCAGCTGCCTCTTGCACACCCTCTACTGGGGATGTGCTCGCAACCAAGGTACATGCCCTTGACTGGAATCGAACCCAGGACCTTTTAGTCCACAGGCTGACACTCTATCCACTGAGCCAAACTGGTTTTGGCTAGAATTTATTTACCTTCTACAATTAAAAGTTTGTAGTCCGCAGTAGAGCCAAGTCTCCTGCTTGCTCTGATGCAGCCATATCTGTTTGGATTTGTTTATCTTCTATAATTGAGACTTTGTAGCCTGGAGTAGAGGCCTAGGCTGGCCAGGGCTGCTTAAGCTTGGCTTCCTCTATTGCGAGGGAAACCCAAGTCTCTGTCATGCTCCCTGTGGTTGGGGTTAATTTGCATACTCACTATGATTGGCTGGTGAGCATGGCTTGTGGGTATAGCAGAGTGAGGGTTAATTTGCATATTACTCTTTTATTAGGTAGGATTAATCTCATGATAAATAAAACCATAGAGAAGTTATATTACTTTACCAAGGTTACACAGACAAATCTAGCAAAGTTCAAGATTGAACCCAGAGCCTGAGCTCTAAACCACTACTTACTACTTTTGAGCCCATTATAAATACTGTGATGAGTCATCTCTGCTTTTGCAGATGAGTTCCTCATAGAGCTTCATTGCTCTTGGCATTGTCATTTCTTTTGTTTGTTTTTCCAGATCTTCTATTTCACATTTTTTTGAGGTGTTTGTGTAAAAGATCATATTTAGGCATATATTGACTCAGGATGCCTTTAGCTGTAAGTAACAGAAAATGAAAATTGATTTTGGCTTAAACATAAAAATTTATTTTCTCATAATATACAAAGTCCATGAAAGGTTGAGTCAGTAACACAATAGTGTATGTCACCAAGGTGTAAGGA